TTATTTGGTAATACCTGTTAATGTTTTTAAACATATTGAAAATGGCAAATATCATAGGCCTAAGGCTTATTACTGGTATATTTTGCTGAACAATAAGCAGGTTTGAGAAACATTGATGAACATCTATTAATATCCATGTGAGATCTTTTATACCTTTATGTTTCTTAATAAATGGAACAATATTCTTATCTTTAAACTTCCTAAATTTATTTAAAACTTTACAAACATACATTATCCATGCTTCTGTCATGTGATCAAGTTTGGGTAAGCACTTTATATCACTATTTTGGTATTAATTGTTTATTCATTTAACAACATACATATTGGCAATAGCAAATATCATAGGGCTTATGTACTGGTATATTTTGCTGAACAATAAGCAGGTTTGAGAAACATTGATGAATATTAATTAAGATTCATGTGAGATCTTTTTATACATTTACGAACAGAGATGAATTGGCTGTAAAGATTGCCAAAATAGAGGGTTTCAACCCGCTCGAGTTCTCATTATATTCCATCCATATATAGTTTTCCCGTTATTTCATACCCTCTTCGCAGCCGCTGTCTGGTTCCTAGGATGATTTTTGGTAACTATACCCTCTTCGCAGCCGCTTTTTGGTTCTTAAGACGTCTTAACAGCCGCTATTTGGTAACTGAGACGCCTTTTTGGTAACTGCACATGCTCGACATGGCTTGATAAAACGTCACTTACTTCCAAGCGCATGCTCACTGTGTTTTTTTTAAATTAATTCACGGACGTTATTTTGTAACTGCGCATGCGCATTTTCTTAGTTCGGAATTCTCACTTCTTCGTAGTAAAAGCTACCGCTACCTACTGTTTCTTAATGACTATTTCCTCTTGATCGTTACAGCCTAAAGATGCGGCGTGAAAATCGAACTTCAGCAGAATAGAAGAGCGCCATCCCTCAGTGGCGCATTAGTCTATTGCAACTATATTTATTAAAATAAGAATTTAACTACGATCGCATGACTCCATGGCCAGAAAGAATAAATGTATTTAACATGTATTTCCTTAATTACAGCAACAATTGAATTGATAATTCAAACAATTGAAGACCAACTTGACTGGATAATTTTGAACACATGTGAACTTTACCACAATTCAACAATGACCTCCAAAATTGCGAGTTGCTTACTTATAGTGTTAGTAAATGTATATTCCACATCGGGTCAAGCAAACACTACAACAGCACCAACAACAAATTATAGGCCTATCACAGACTCTACAACTTATATAAGCACGATTAATGCACAAACAACCGGTCTAAATACCTCAGGTCTAAATGCGACCACTACAGAGGTAGAAGAATACAGTAAAACTGGGATTGAAACTCAATCACCTCAAACCAGCATTGCGTCTGTGACGATGTCCAATTTGTCCACATCTGTGATGACTTCTGGTTCACAAACATCTGCGCCGATCAGCAGTACGTTTACGACGTCTGATTCACAAACAACTAATTTGAGCACAAGTGTATCGGCGACTACGGATGAGCCGAAGACGATAAGAAGAACGAACGAATCTTTTACTATTAATTTTAACACAACCGAAGATGAAACCACAGGCATGGTAATGTTGTAAATTTACTAACACATGGTTTTGTCCCGAATGTCCAACTAGGGTTTGAAGAGATAGTTGGGTTAGCCCAAGGAATCTAAAGGCTGAGGACAAGACGAAATATTCGTTTTTAAGCCCATACTTCAAAAATAATTAGGCATTAGGCCTATTATACAGACCCAAATATAACCGATAGTAGAAAACTAGCGACAGAATACGGCTTTAATGATATTATTATTATCATTACCATTATAACTATCATCACCATCACTATCATCATCATCAATTATCAGCATTATTATTATTATCATTATTGGTATTATATATTATTATTACTATTCATATAATAAGAATCGAGTATGTGCAACAAACAGATCATCAAATATTTTTCGGTTTTTTTTCTAGCTTTCGTCTCAACTAACAAATGCATATATAAAAAGTTTTTTAAATATGGATGTAAATGTCGAGTGTGATAACACAACATGCGATAACAGGTAAATATTATCCATACCATTTTCATAAATTATTTTATAACACATCCAAAACCGGTACGCAATAGCATCACCAAATTAAATCACACACACACACACATCAATATAGCCGTTAACACTGTTAAATTACAGTATATATATAAATCATCAACGAACGATAAAAACAGTGTTATAATAAAGGACATGATTATACACCGTGTAGCATGCTCTCAGTGAATGTTGTCCTGTAAATAAATGCATTGTGTAATTAAATGCCTCTGACGGGATTCGAACCTGCGACCCCTCGCTGTCAATGTGAGCGTCATAACCAATACACCACAAAGGCTCCATTGTTAAACAGATTCAAATAACCGCCAGCTACGTTGTATTACACAATGATGGTGGACCTCGAGAGAGCGTTAAGTACCATCATGTCCTTAAATATAACACTGTATTTACCTTTCTTTGATGATTTATATATAATTTAACAGTGTTAACGGCTAGCTTGCTTATTATTATATGTTACTATTTATTTCCAGCCGTACTTAACGCCCTCTCGAGGTGCACCATCATTGTGTAATACAATGTAGCTGGCGGTTATTTGAATCTGTTTA